GCGGCCGGGAATTAGGATAAAAAGAAGGCTGCGCCCTCCAAAAATTTGAGAGACCCCAGGGGAATGCCCCATGGCCTCTCCCTTTATTTGAATAAAGTAAAAGGACTCATCTGTCTCCTTTTTGGACATAAACCTCTGGTGTTTGTGGATTAATTTTCCTGACAATTTGGGGGCTCGGTCCGAGGTATTTCCACCATCCAGGGCGGCGGGCAGTGAGCGGAGCTGAAGGCGCCTCACCCAGTTTCGGTGATCAGCTCCCCTTGGTGGCGGCCGGCACCGGGTGATCGATTGGGTTCCCAAGACTGTCCAGGAGACAGACGAGTGGCGGACCAGGGGGGTCCGTGAAGAGTCCACAGGAAAGGACCACTGAAAATCTCACCGATGAGTAAAATGGGATCTTCGGGGAGGAAGCCTGGGAGGGCACCCAGGGAGGGTAGCACAGGCTAAACAGGGCACCCATGGAGGGTTGCAAGGGTACAGCCAGGAAGGGGTCCTGGCAAAAGGGATGACGATCCCATAATAGCCCTGGAGAGTCCCTTGGGGAGAATGCTGAGATCTTGGGACAGATTATGCATTCACCCAGAAATAACTATGGAGATGATGGTAAAATATTGTTACTATGTATGGCCAGAGTGTAAGTTGCCAAATGGACTTAAATGGCCACCTTATGGAACAGATAGAATTCATTGGTGTTGAATTCTGTGGAAGTATCTAGCGGAGACTTGGAAAGGATGGACTGAAAGGGAATGTGGATTGATATGGTTTAAACAAGCAACAGGAGAAATCTATGTGTTAAGAAAAAAAGAAGAGGAAACAGGGGGGGAAAACGGTGAAGACTGGGATGTTTTCCAGCACCTTCCCCCGCCTTGTCCTCCGGTGTTGCCAGCTGACCCAGGGCCAGCTACAGATGCCCTGTATCCTCACCTTCCAGAGCAAAGGGATCAGGGAAATGCTGTTCCTACAGCTCCACCTGAAAACAACAACGGTGTAGGAGGAGGAGCAGCATATCATATCACCCCCTAGAACCAGAAGGAGGACTCAATTTAGGGTATCAGAAGCCCCCCGGACCCAAGAGACAGGGGTACACCAAATGCCACTCTGCCAAGTTCCTTTGGGAGATCAAGGGGAAGGATTTGGGTTTGTAATTGTACCACTTACTACCCAAGATACAAGAGGATTGAAAAAATAATTACCCCCGTATTTGACGATCCCAGAGGGGTGGGGGAAAAGATAGAGGAATATTTGGGAAATGCAGATGGTATATGGGAGGACTGGAATTTTCTTTTGGGGATTTTGTTTGGGTCAGAGAAATGAATGATTTTGCAGAAAGCTCAGCAGCTGTGGGAAGATGAACATCCACAAGCAGCAGAGGGGGCTGGACCTAATGCACCTACAGTGGATGATGCCATCCCCCAGGTAGACCCCCAGTGGGACCCAAATAACCAGGCCAGTCTGACTCACCTCCACAATTATCATGCTTATTTGATTAGGGCAAGCAAACCAGCGGCTCCCAGAACTAACAACATAACACCTAAGGCTATGTTGTTAGAACAGGACAAACAAGAGAGCCCCTCTCATTGGTTAGAGAAGAGTAGGGATGCCTTGCAGAAGCATGGGGGGATGGATCCTGAAGGGGAAGCCTTTGACACATTGCTGAAGGTACAACTTGTTACTAAGGCTCAGCCTGACATAAGGAAAGGAGTACAAAAAGACCAAGAGTGGCAGAATAAGCCTCTAGAGGAATTGGTGAGAAAAACACAGCAAATATATGTAAAAAGGGATGAAGAAAAAGTAAAAGCTAAGGCAAAGATGATGGCAGAGTTTTTGCAGCCCCAAAAGAACAAACCACATGACCATGACTGTCAGGGAAGCAGCAGGGAACAATCTCTTCTCCAGACAAGTGATGTAGACTGGCCAGTGGCCTTGTGGAATACAAATTCCATGGTTGGACTGTCCTTTTTACCATCAAGCTGCAGAAGTACTATTTAGCTGGTTAACTAAACATTACACTCACCTATGCTCCCTCTCTGTGCCAGCTCTGTTTCTGAAGTGCACAGGGCCCTGTAAATCCGTACAAGGCAGTACTGCCCCACATTCCTGTGTGGGCACAGGCCTGGAAGTACTGTAAGAGGCAGGAAGGGCCTCATGCCTCCCTTGAGGCACTGTCTTGAGGAGCAATGTGTTGGGCAGTCCCAGCCTTAGAGGCAGCCAGGTAGTTTTGGCAAAGGTCAGACTGATGGTTCATACGTGGAAGTCACCACACAGAACATAAAATGAATGCATGGGGTAAGATCCTGAACAGGCATGAGAAAACAGGTCGAGGCTCAGAAGCAGGAAAAAATCTTGGTTTAACCTAAGAATGACCACAAACTGTGCTGACAGTGATCACACCCATTTATATCAGCCTTAGAGTAAAGTATGTGAAGTACTAAGAAAAAGCCAAATAAATAAAAACAGCAGTGGTATAGAAGAAAAAGAAACAACTTGAAAGAAAGCATGAAGACTATGTTAAATGATCAAGGAAGTCTTACTGGTAATAATTTTTATTGCTTTTTAAAGAAATACAGGTCTTCTAACAGTGCCTAAATTAGTGAACTATTGAAATATGACTTGGCCACAGGCCTCTGAAAGACTGAGCTTCTCAAGGTTTGAGTCACATCTTAAAGGTGAAAAATAACTGAAACTGCAAACATCAATGGGTGCACCCAATCTCAAAAGTCTCACACTCCTTTTTTATTTAAATGAAATTAAAATAATTAAATAATAAAAATGAAAAAAATAAATTTAAACTAATTAAAAATAATTACTGTTAAATAAATACCATTAAATAAAAATTAACATTTCCAGCTGCCTAGTTGTTTGTATGAATATATTCAGCTTTCTTGCACTGTGGATGTAGAAGTACACTTAAGGAGACTTTCAACATATTTGGAATTAGTATTTTTTGTAACTGACCTGCAAGACCGATTAATTAACATTTATATTCTCAAACCTTTCACTGGGTAGAGAAAGCTTTAACTGTAAACTGTCTGTAACTTAACTGTAACTTAAAACTGTCTGCTATGCTATTTTAAACCCATATGAGGTCCATTGTTTCAAACTTTGGTTTGAACTTAACTATATTTTTAAGTATCAATTGCACACTACTCTAAAACAAAACAACTCAGTGAAAAAACAGGCTGGCAAGTAAACACTGAAAACAAAACAATTCCTTCTTATTTTTCCACTTGTAGATGCACAGCATTACAAAGAATGTCAGGAGGTTGTTGTGTCGCCTTCTTCCTCATCTTTATTGTAGACATGCTGCTGGTTCTCATGGCTGATGTTTCAACAACCTAAACCAGCTGTAAAAAAATCAAAATTACTAGAGAATAATTAGTACCCAGTGTACCTGTCTTCCACAAGCTACAAAGGAAAGACAGTACTGTAATAATACACTGTACGTGCACAGCTTTCCCTCTAATATAAGTAATATAACTTATAATACCAGCGTAGTAACTACCTCTGTCACATCACTTGGCATGCTCAGTCAGTTTTCTTCCTGCCAAAGGAATATGATCCCAAAGCTGCAGCAACTGCTCTCCAACTTGTGGTTCCAGCTCCTAGAAATGATCAGGAAATGAGGGAAGTTACCTGCACTGCTACTACTGAGCACACAGAAACTATTTATTACTGAATTGTTAGATACGTTGCTGGTGATTGCTTTCAACCTTTCTAGAACAGCTCATCCCTATTGCTATTGGGACAAACATTAGAACTTCTACCAGAGCAAGGTTTTCTTACTAGGGCTCAGTAGGAGATAAAAACTTTCATAAGCCATCCTGGCCTACAGGCTGTTTGGGGTGTTTTTATTCACAGTGAGATGCTGGTTCTCACAAAGATAATTCCCAATGAACACGCTACCACCATACCTAAGAACAGATGCACCAGATACTTTGTACCTCCCACAGATCAGTCACTTACTACAAGACATCATTATTTTCCACATCTTTTAAGCTGAATTCCATGAAGTGTGGTGGAGAATGTGGAAAGAGGTCACAGTAAATACAGTGGCCATCCTTTCCTTGTACTTCTTTCCCCCAGTTTCTTTAAACTGGAAAGGGGTTTTGAAGAAGAGAAGATGATACAAAAACTTTAGCTCTTGAATCATCAAGGAGATATTCTGTGAAGGGATGGGGAGAGGGCAGAAACTGCCACACAGAAATTGTGTCAATTCTTTGGTTTTTTGCAGTTGCAGCTATTTGGGTGTGGCAGACTATCTGAGAGAACACATCTCAACCAAACAAGGCACAAATCTCTAGAACTAAATTACAAACTAAAAAACACACCCAACTTCTTTTTGGAAGAAGTCACCTTTAAATATTTCTTTTAACACATAAGCATGAAACTGTTTTGATTTTATCAAAGCAACTACATTACTTCAGCAGTAATTCTGCATTAGCTGAAAGTACAATACATCAATGAACTGTAAATTCAGATTAGCAGATACATGAACAAGTGGAGATAAAGGTCAAGGCTGAACAAGCTAATAAAAAATACACAATTCTACAAAGTAAAGAAAACTTAAGAATAGAGTAACATTACCTGGCCATCTCTACTTATTTGTACTTTCTTACTGTCATTCCATGGGTTGAGCAAATGGTGTGCAAACTGAAAAGGAATGCTTTCTTTTCGGATCCAGTCCACCTTAAATACACCTCCAAAACCAGCAGATCCCCAGTCCTGACTTCTCTCACTTCCGATTGCTGAACCCATTCTAGCAAAACCCTGGGACACAAATTGAAATATGAAAGAACAGACATAATGACACATCTGTCTATGGTTGAATGAGATAAATAACTGAACTTCCTATGAACCTTTCAAAGTAGTTTCAAAGTGATTCACACACTCTCCACGTGAAGCTGGAGCTTCCAAAATGTTTTCATCTACAAAGTTAGAAGTATCACTTCTTTTTCCACTGCAAATATGCCTTGTAGGGTTTGACTATAAGGAATGTCTCTCAGTGACAAGATTATCACTAAAGGTTTCTTGAGCTTTTTAACAGATTAAAAAGCTGTTGCATAACCACCTGAAGCAGAAGGAAATCAAGATAAATATTCTACTACATTATAGTCCATTAGATATTCATATTCCTTGTTACTTGCTAAGTCCTTATTACTCTTAATTTTTGCAGAAATCCATTTGTTCCTTCTCACGTTCCCTCTATGTTAACAAACTTTTACACAGAATTCATAGAGTGCAGCTGTTCTTCAAAGAAAGAAGTCAAAGTTGCTTTTATTTCCTTCTTTAGAGAAGCTGGACAAAATTCCAACATGACAAGTATTCAAGAAGAAAATGAATGACACCCCAAACCCAAGACAGCATCTAACTTAAGGACACCCCGATTTACCCACACACCAAACAAACAGAAAGTAAACCCAACCCCACAAAAAAAATTTATCAACTGTTCAGGTGAATTTATGCCATTTAGGACTTAACAGTCCTAAAAGGACTTAACATTAACATTTAGGACTTAACAGTCCTAAAAGATGCAGTTTACCATGTAAATCATTGTGGTTGTAAGACAAGCAGTCCCAGATATCTCAAGCCAGACTTAAATAAGAATTAATAAAAGGAACAGAAGAAAAAATAAATGTGAAACAGAGACAGTTGTGACAAGAAAAAATTAATAGAGAAGTTAATCTCACATTCCATGAGGGTGCAGCACACTGTCAAAACTGGAAGGGCAGGGCAAGGTCAACCACCTACATTCCTGACTTCCGTGTGTCTCCCCCACTTCCTTGTCTGAGAGCACCAGTGCAACAGCCCGTTTTCAGTATCAAGTGACTTGCTGAAAATAACTTTCCAGTATTACATTTGTATTTGCCAAACCATCATAAGTAATATGTCACTGCAATCCTTCAGAGGTGCTGCCAAAACAGCTGTTTTGGTTGGGTCACTAGATTTTAAGTTCAGCTGACTTTTACAAATAACTTATATATGAAGAAGTTAGTTAACTTCCTTAATCTAGAACAACTGAATTTAGCTGGCTCACAACTGGCTGCAGCTTTGCACTACCAGGTCAAGTTTTTAAGTTGACCACAGATTTGACCAACAAACTGTTGACAAATATCTCACTGAATATGAAGTCAAGACACAGATCTGGAAGAATGATCAGCTTCCTAACTGGAAGTGAATAAAACCCTTTTTTATCGAAATTTTAATAAAGAAATTTATGAATTTCTTAGCTTTAGAAACCTGTGACTTGACTGTAGCTGCTTGCTCACTTACAATACACATTTTGGCATGCAAACATATAGCAATCCCCTACTTTGTTAGGAATTTTTTTTCTGGTTGTTGCTGTTTTAGAGAATGAATGTAGGGTACAAACATTTTTCTGACTCATGATGCTTGGAGGCAATACCATCTGAGCTTCTGAGGGACAAGCAAATTTCAGAGGAGAATGAAATACTCTTTCTTCAGCAAACACAGACATTCACACATTTCTCTGCTTCTCAGAAAGTCAGAAGTCATAAACAAAGCTGTCCACACTACACACAGTCATTTGCTGCGCCCTCCTAAACCATCAAACACTGCTAATATTTACTTTTAGATTAAGGCTCACCTGAAAGCATCCAGACCCTTGAACAGAAAATATTAAGTAAACCACATTACTCTCCCAAAAGGCTCCATTCAGCTTCCTTTCGTTACTTGGTGTAGTGGACCATATTCCCTTCTGCTGAGAAATATCAATGTTTCGCAGGTTGCTACTTTTCATTATAAAGTACCGAACTGGCCTATTTTGTCTTGGTGAAGGAGATTTGCAACCCTGGAAAAAATAAATTAATAGTAGGGAATTTAACAGTAATTCATCCATGAGGGGCAGAAAACAAGTAAAGCAGAACAGGACTAAAAAGTCTAGTGATAAATTGTAATTGGTTTAAGACTGACACACCTTGAGATGACACAAAAATTAATCATCCTACACTGCAGCCTCCAGCACACTACTCACATATCTACCTTCAGAAAACATGTTTTCTTCCTTTTACATTGTTGGAATTTAAAAGATGAAAGACTCAACAGGAATTACTAAATCCTTCAATGAGTACATGAGGTTTCCCCTCAGTGATCTCTTTCTTTAGTGTTACTGCAGTTTACTATTCAAATATATAGGGACAACTATGACAATAATCTCATTAAAAATGTGCCCTTTAAAAAGAAAAGAAATTTAACCACATTTCTTTAAAATGTGGTTAAAATAACCATCACAAAAAACCCCAAGCAGTCATAATAAGGCAGATAACACAGATAACACAATACTTCAAGAGAATCAGTATCAATGTATGCTATTACAGAAACAGAGAAAGGCAGAATCCAAAACCTTCGGAAGTGTACATACAATATACTAATTTAATTGAAAAGAAATAATATACCTTCACCGTTTATTAGAACAAGTTTAAAAAAATGCTATTTTTACTGTATTAAACTAGTGTAACAAGGATATTAAGTCTAAATTTTAAGTTCCAGAAGGAATTATTATGCAACTGTTATAAATGAAAAGTTATGTCAGGTTCCTAATTTATCAGTAAAATACCCAGTATTTGAAGAATGGTACCAGCAAGAAATTCTATTACTTTTGAAGAGCAGGGTGATACGTTTGAGAACTCTACCTTTCCAGATACTGGAGAAGGACTAGCACAGGGGCTGGGAAAGCTACTGCTTTCTGCAGGTTTCACTGAGGACTGAGCTAATCTGTCATCTGAGGATCGTTTGGAGAGCAAAATGTCTCTTTCTTTGTACTTCTTTGGCTGGTGGAGTGCGGGAGATGTAGATTTCACTGAAACCCTACAAAGGACATACCTTGAGTTTCACAAGCAGTTAATGCACAATTTACATCGACCTGTCAGCCTACTGCATGACCACATGTATTACAGCAGATACAAAATATATTATAACTAAAAAGCCCATACTGATCATGTGTTGTTTTTTAATGCTACTGTTAAACCTCTTCTGCTGCTTCTCAAAAGATCACAATTCATAAACAATATTCCTGACTGCTCTCTCAAACAGCAGGCTCATGTATGAAATACTTCTCATTGGGATTACAATGCAGCATACAACAGTATAACACCTTTCAATGGTATTTCCACTCTTTTCACCTCTTTATTACTAGCAGAAATTTAAGTGATGCTTGTATACATAAACTGCAACCTAGAGTGAACAGAAGACCTCAACATCTTACTTTTCAGCATTAGAGGAGTCAGACAATTCAGTTTCTGTTGAGCTTTTTCTACTGCTGGTTGACTTCCATGTAGATGCCAAAGGAAGTTCTTCACAAGCCACAGGTCTTGGTCTCTGGCCAATTCCTGAAGGCTGCTGCAGACCTGCAGACTGTTCTTCAGCACTCAGAACAGCTGTAATTGCTCTTACAGTTGTTTCATCAACCTGAGACCACGGTTTAGAAGGAGCTCGCATACGACGCAGGAACAAACTGTGCCACTTCTGCCTAAGTTGCAACAGCATACCAGCGGCCTGTAATGAATTCCAGTTCCGTTAAAGACTGATGAAAATTAGATCAGACAGGTAATCTCTTTCCTATGAGGCAGCAACTGGCATTTTAATATAAACAGGGTTCAAAATGAAAGGCAAGACTACAATCTTGGGGAGGGGGAATAACTCATATTTAAACTAAGATGTTAATTTACTTTATTTACTTTCTTTTCCTTGGGTGCAGGGTTATTTTTGAAACATTTCATTTAACTCTGTACTAGACTTAACATTGTATTGTAAATCCACTTACTTTTTTTTCTTTTTTAATCTTTCTAGAAAACCCAACCTTTTCATGCTTAATGCCCTTCCCCTCAAATCAGTCTATACTCATGCACTCTTCATACCTGAGGGAAAAGAGCTCTAAGCAACATTTTCTTACACAAACTTCTGTCCAAATGTGATGACTAAATTCAAAAGACTATAGTCTAATTCCCATGTTATCAGGAATGCTTCCATTAAAATACATTTTTTTAAATCACTCTTTTGGACACAGTAGTATTATTATTAGAGCTTAAGTGTTTCATGACCCACAAACTACCTTTTACCACAACCACAGCGCCTCAATGACCTAAAGACTTCTATTTCAAAGAGGTTTTTATTTATCCTTCCAAAATCTGACAGCAACTTTCTTTTGGCAACTCCAGCTTCAAGTGCTCCTTTTTGATCTGATTTTGGTTATCCTCTCAGAGAAAGAAAAACACAATATGCCAGTATGACTGTTCTCTCAGCTCCTGCTCAGATTTTGGCTATCCCAGATCATGCTATGGCCTGATGGAGTACCATGCAGGCAGGACAGGAGGCCAGAAGGAGCAGAAGGGCCATTATGCTGCCACAGTCACTTGCAGCTTGCTGTCTCCTACAGCCATTATCTTTTGTCTGGCAGTCCCTTCAGAAACTGCTGACTTGTGGAAAGGGACCAAACTGCCAAGCTCAGACATACAAAACATCATACTGCAAGAAAGGTATGATACTTTTCTGGTATACCCATCCCCAGAAAGTTTTTGAAGCAGATCCAGCAGCATCTGGACTGCTGAGGTTTCCCTCGTGTGATAGACAGTTCACCCACACCAAGATGGAGGAAGAGGGATAAGCACTCTCACTGTTGACTTAGGTGACTATTTTTTATCTTTTTGCTCATAGGGACAAGAATTGAAAGGTATGGGTGATAGGTTATGAAACCTTGTAACTTGGATGTTGAATACATGAACTCATGTGACAGACAACTCTGGGCCAAAGCGGATTGAAGCCCTTTAATTCCTGACGAGCTCATGAAGTAAAGTTAAATCACAGAATATGTAGTTTGAGAGACCCAAATGGAACATGACATTCTTAGAGAAAATTCTTGGCTACACGAATGTTACAAAAACCTTTTTACATCTTTTTACAATTCTTCTACATGAAGCAAACCCAGGGCGATTTCTTACTTACTTCAGGGTCCAGTTTGAGATGGAGCCATTCATCCAGCTTCAGTAGTGCCAGATGAGCAGTTGTTTTGTCCTCCATCTCACTGTCACTGCTATCATTAGATACTCCTCCCCCTGAATTAAAGAAAAAAGGTGCATTAGCATTTCTGTATTTTTTTCTACTTATATACAGAAACCAGAACAGTACTGTATTACCAGCAATAAATATTTTTCCTTCTAAAATTGACTTTAAAATGTAAACATTTGTAAAACTACCTCTTCTTTTCTGCAAATACACTGAAAAGTCCTTGCTCCAGATAGCGGCAATCAAGTAGCCAGATCTGCTGAAGGTCCTGCTACTGTACTGATGTGATCTGACTCAACTCATGTACCTTCATCAGCATTCACAAGCCACTATCCAACTTTTGCCTAAAGCAGTTTGTAAAACCACATGTGGCTCTATTTCCTAGTAAAATAGCAGATTTAAAGACCTAGTATACATATACATATCTATACATATATGTATTCATATATACATATGGCTATTAATTAGGAATCCTTATTTTCCTAAAGTGCAATTCTATCAGCATGAACACTATTCTACAGTTAACTGTTTAGAAGCAAAAGAGGAAAGCTTCAGAAATTAGTTGGACATACAGTTTGATTCAAACTGTGGGAACTAGCAGCAGTTATTTTTGCTTCCATTCCAAGAACACTCAATTTAAATAAAAAATAAAAAAAAGGAAATTTCTATATATTCTCTATTACTTGTGGTTAATAGTATAGCTGATTGACATTAAAAATTATCAGTAGAACATATCTTGAAAATGTGTGTGTCAGCTAGAAGCAACATGACTTATTTGCCATATTGATTGTTTCTAAATTACTCAGTTTGAATAATCTAGTTCAAAGTATCAAATAAAGTAGTCTGTAGAAAAAGAACATATATACTACACTTCTCACTACCAGTATTATCATTAGACACTGTGGCTGCATTATTTCCTTACTAACTATACTGAATGAATGTGTAAGGAATCCCAAAACTGAGAGATTTGTTACAAACTATTTGATACAAACTGTTCCTGAATAGCTATAGGAATTATAACACTGTTGTTTTCAGAATCAGCCAATATATGTATTAAGTATTACTTAAAAATAAGCCTTCCTTGTCACACACCAGTGTATACCAATGGAAACATCCCAAATCTGGGCTCTGGTGTACCTCGAAAGGTTGAAGATGCCTGCAAGGCATTACTTGGCAGTCTGGCTGGTCCACAGAAGAGGGACACGGTGACAGGTGTCACAACAGAGCAGCACCTGATGTTTGCTGTCTTGTGAGCTCTTGTCATTTCATCATATATAAGCCAGTCTGTAGGGAGAGCCTGGATGGCTGCAGCCTGTCCATTTGCTGGGGCAATCTGTGCAAGAGAAGATAAGACTAGGCTATTATAGCCGGTACCCATATTTAATGTAAATTTTAACATATTTCCCATTTTATTCAGAGATATTTGTGGATGCCTCAACCTGGCAGTGTTCACAGCCAGGCTGGGTGGGGCTCCCAGCAACCTGGACTAGTGGGAGGTGTCCCTGCCCATGGCAGGAAGTTGGAATGAGAGAAGCTTTAAGGTCCCTTCCAACCCAACCATTCTATGGCTCTATATTTTGAGAAATAAATACATGTATAATAATACACATATAAAAATATACATGCAAATAAAAATTTTGAGAGAATTCAACCAGATTCAGAAATTATCCTACCATGATAAAACAAAGTATTTTGCTTTAAAAAGAAAGGTTTAAAAAAACTTTCAGAGTATAACTTCTTGCTTTTAAGAGTAGGGATCATTATATCTTTAGAACAATTTTATAACTAGGGGCATTTTTTTTGCCATTTTGCCTTGCTCCATCTAGAGAAAGAGCTAATTGAAACAATGGGAAAAAAAAAAAACCCTCCAACTTCTATCAGCTGGTTAGTGAAGTATTTAGAAAAAGTAGAAAAGTTAGAAAAGTATTTTCTAAAGCTGTAGTGTTAAATGCCCATGCTGCTTTTAAAGCACTGACAACTAGAAAAAGACATTTCTAAAACATGTGATAGATTTTAGTGCTCTTTTTTGTGAACTATAAATTCAAAGTGATTTTACCTTTTTATACTGAGTTTGACCAAGAACAGAGGTAGGATGAAATCGCACTTTCTTCTCCTTTGGTTCAGTCAACACCAGGCTTTCTCTGTCTACATGCACAAGATTGGGATACATCCCAGCCACTAAAGCAGCTTTAATTACAGCCCAGTTCTCAGAGTTAGTATTGACATCTCTAATATCAGCTCCTCCTCTGGCTCTCACAAAACCTGACAAGACAAAATGGTGCCATGTCAGCTTGTGTTTGGTTCTCAAAAGGAGTTTGAAAATGAAGGTGAAATAAATTACTTATTTGTTGCGGTTTTCACCACTACCAACCTTAACAGCACCAAGAAGAAACCATTACACTGAAATCCTTCCTGGTAAGAGTTTCATACTAACACAAAATACAATTCTTTCTACAATACAAAGACATTTCCTATGGGAATATTTTACTAAAACATAAAGATCCAAGAAATTTATCTCAACAGCGAAATGCAGTGGCATGTGGAGATGAGGGTGCTTTCAGTTAGATCAGCCACACTTCCTCATCTACACCATACCCTGCATGAATGTGTACATGAAAATGTGTTTCAAATTAAGTAAGGAAAATTACAGTGGTGAACATGATTTTTGTAATGATTTCTATATGTTTGACTTTAAAATAAGGGTTTTTTTGAAGCTCTTTACCTGAGGCTCTAAGCTGGCCAAGCAACTGTGTTCTCATTCCTACAATGATTTCCATTGTGGCTTGGGATAGGAAGTTCTTTTCACAGAAGGCTCTCTCCCAGCCATCACTGCGTGCCTTCTGCCATGCCTGAAAACGTTTTTACATTTGCTTATTAATTTGATAAGCTAACACTAGAACATGCTTTTTTTTTTAAATTACATTTATGTCAATAAAATAAATGTAAGACCCACTCTGAAAGTAAATGTATCAAACTAGATTTTTATTTCTGTTCAAGAATTAGATTATCTTACCTGCTCACTACATGATCATTATGTCAAGTTAAAATTATTAATTTAATAAAGATCGTTACATTAAGATCATGATTTGAAGATCTCTGTGTAGTAGCATGTAAAAAGGCACATTGTTAGACCACTCAGAATTTTGTACGGTTTGAAAATATCAACAAAACATACCACAAAAAGTGTTCCCTCACAAATATACAGGAAAGCCACCAGGCAAAAATAAAGTCTTCTCCAAGGATGTTGCTGACTGCAACACAAGGACTTAATCACAGTGCACCACTCTATATCCAAGCAGATTGATGCATTTGTTACCTTGATTGGGTGATCTACTGTGATTAGTACTCTCTGAAATGAAATATTACCTGGAAAGCCCTGAGCAGGGCCATGTGGTCACTGAACGTCCCTGCAGCAAAACGCTTCCTGCACAGCATGGCTGCACGCTTTTGGGAGGCCAGTGTGGGCAGCACAAAAGGGTCTTGGCAGGCAAGAGCAGAGGCAATGGTCAGAACAGGATCCAGGCACTTCAGCACTACAGCATACAACACCATTTTACCAAGGTGTGGCTCTACAGGTAATTCAGTGAGGTGATAACCAAGCTCAGTGAGATCTTCCCAAGCGTCCATGGCATCTATGGTCTGTTTATAATCAAACAAACAAAGGAGAGGGGGACAGGGACAGTGAACTAAATCAATTAGCAGTGAAAGCAAAAAGAATGTGAATATTGGACATTAACTAGACTTGCTCCCAAACACTTAAAAAAGCAAGTCAAACTATTAACAGAGACAAGACTTCGAGGCACTCTCTTCCCTTGACGTGGAAAAACATATCCTCACACACAAAATGAAAACAGACAATAAACAAAAATTTGAAACATCCTTAAGTAATTAAAAACAGCTTCAGTACAAACTGAAGTAAGAAAAACAGACTGCTACACGAAAAACTTGGAATCAAACACAATTTCCATGTAAACCTATTCCTTTTCTGACCTTAAGCATATGCACAGCATTTCTCACAGTTCCAGCAGGTGGAGGATCAGGAGCTTTCATAAGAAAGTCTACAACTGGACAATTAATTGGAGCCAGAAGTTTTGTGTACAAACAGATCTCCTGCAAGTTAAAAGGCAGAACAAAAAAGATTACCAAGATTTGGAAACGATCTTAGAGATTGTTTCCAAATCTTGGAAACACATGTCCCAAACACATGATTTGTTGCAATTAATAGTATGGCTTGATGACATTACATTTTTTAAAGTTATAATTTCTAAGTGAACATGCACCTGAAGCGGCATTCTTAGAAGTTCTGGAGATTGAAATTCCAACATATTCTGAAATCGGAGCCTGCTGAAGAGACGAAAACAGACTCCAGGCTGACAGCGCCCAGCCCTTGAAAATGAAATATGGAAAGTTGTGAAAATTAGGAATTCTTTATAAAAACAAAACCAAAAGCCAACAAACAGATACAGAAACTTAGAATGGGAAAGTAGAAGCAGTTCTATGAAGAAAATGTTGTTAAGTCACACAAAAAGTGAGAGTTTTCCTATCATGGATTATTTTTGAGAGTGTGGCGATTTTTCACTGTAATTTTAACCCAACACTGAAAAATCTGGAGAAAGAAAAACAAGGCTTATCTAAGTAAAGTGCTGTGGGTATTTTTTTAATCTAAGATCAGTCCAAATCTCAATCATCCTTTGTTGTAAGGAATCTAAATTGCAAACTTCATTTCTTCCTCTCACATCCCCTAAACATAAGCGAGCCTTGGATTAAAAAACAGAATTAAGATTAAATAAATTGCGAGTGGATGAACAGAGACAGCAAGTTCTCACATTCATGCACAAATATCTGTAGTTTAATGCCAATATAATTGATTTAAGGGGCATTTGTTGCTACATAAACTTCTGAGCCCTCACCCACATTGTTGGGAAGAGCATGATCATGGCCTGTTAAATCATGGATAGTTTGGAGAAAGTGAAATAGGCCATCCTTTGCCAACAGAGAATGTGGGAAAACAATCCACTGGACACTGTGACTGATGGTGCTACATGGGAGAAAAAGAAAGGAGAACAAACTAATGGGGGGAAAACAACCTAGACCTTAGGGAAAACGCCTTTCCCACAACTTAGAAAATGATTCCAAGGAAATACACACTAACCCCTACTCAGAACAAGTGTTGGCCATTGTCCAACATGACACTGGACTAGGCTAGAAACAGTTATTATGTTGTCTGCTTTATTCTTAACATACAGGATGGTGGATATAAAATTAAATAAAACTAAAAACCAGTATGAGACATTTATTACCTGCCTTTTCTCTGGATAGCACTGGCTTTTGAAATCCACCCCATTTTTAGCATTGTAACACGACTCAGTGCATCTAAAGACTTCTATAAAAACAAAGAAAGGAACATAAACTGAAGATTGAATGGGATACATGAAATTAAAGTTACCAGTTATTTAGACTACTAACAGGAGTTTTCTAAAAAGTGTGAAACAGCAATATATACAGCAGCTTATGGCACAAAGGTATCTTCTCAGTTTCAAGCAAATTTATGATGTCATCTCCTTTGCAGTATCTTTGTGCTACACAGTTTTCAAAATTAAATGTTGTCTAGTCAATAGGTAAATGCAAGCCGCTAAAAGGTATGTTAGATCTGTGTTCTGAAATATCACAAAGCAAGCAAAAATACATTATTATGTATTATTTTCCTTTTTATCTCACTTGGAAATTACCAACTTATTTTCTTAGATTGTGTAAAATTACAAAAAAACCCCCTTTGTTTTATGAGAACTTCAGAAATTTGGTGTGCATACTGCCTATAAAATCCAATTTCATTCTGAAAGCCATACACTAGGTCTCAAATTGTCTCATTATGTTATCTCACTTTTCTTGGACAAATGATTTGGGAATAAGCCCCCAGCACATCAAAAAAAGTGCTTAAAAACTTAATGGATTATTTTTGAACTTGATACAATAGCAGGACAAAAGGAACTCCTAGTATTCTCTAACTCTCAGGAAGGAGGTGGTCTAAACTGAGGACTTGTTTTAAACATCAAACAGAAATACTAAATTATAAAAGAAAAAGATATATCAATACATCAACCTACATTAGCTTTTACAGGGTTTTTGTACAGCTAGCTATTTACAGTACTTGTTTTAAAACAAATAGATGTTGAAACTTTTCAGTGAGGTCTGTTGCCTGACATGCATTAGCTCTCAGCCTACTGTAAACGAAAAAGTCCTCCCTAATTTATGCACTGTGAGTTTTAGAATTGCACTAGGAAAATTTAAGGCAGTCATACCTCTTTCACCTTGCCTGAGTCAATGACAAACACAACATCATTGACTGTTATGCTGGTTTCTGCAATATTAGTGGAAAGAATCTGCAATGAAAAAAAACCAAAACCACCAAAACTATAGTAACTGTAAAAGGAAATGCAAAATAGATCATTGTAGCATTTGACAAAGTCTTTTGATACTTGCAATTTTGCGGATGCCAGAAGGTGGAGTTTCAAGCACTTTCTTCTGATCTAAAGTCTGCACACTTGAATGAAGCATGAAAACTTGGTATCTAATGCAAGACAAAAATCACAGTTTAAGGATTCTTAGAAGAAGTTATGAAAATCCACAGAAACTAAAGATTTTACCTGCGAGCATTATCAGCAAATCTCTTGTCATCAAAAAGAATACGGTCCCTCAGGTTCACTATCTCATCATATCCAGGAAGAAATATTAAAATTGCACCTAAAAAAGGAAGTGGGTTTACAGAGAAAAGCAGAAAATTCAAATACATATCAGTGCCATGTAAACTAGCACTAGGAAGGTTTTAACTTTTGAGGATTTCTGAAAAAAGAGCATGATTCATCAGAAGCCAAATCCAGAACAATACACTGGGAGTGTGGGTAGTTACCTACCTGCATCACTACTATGACAGATGCTGTGAAGTAAGTGCATTATCAGATCCAGATCCACTTTTTCATCATCAAAACTGTGATGATAAGCTGTCAGTAGTTCTCTGTCCTCTGCACTAAGGTCACTACCACTTTTTTGGACCAGGGAACTTTCATCCAGAGTTCCAAATCCAAATGAAGCACTGTAATAGAAAAATACACAGACCAGAGTCAAGACTCCCCACTTTGGGTTTGCATTCTGCCATCAGCTCAAACTTAGATCAGGACCAACATGACTATTGGTCTTGAATTCTAATTTTTAACTGTAGCAGAAGAGAATCACCATGTTATTACTGTTCACTGATTTAAATGTTAACCCAACAATGCATGCCAGTTCATTTTTTAGTGTTAACTTTAGTTTTCTTAAACTTCATTGAAACACAACCATAAGCAAATGAAAGTATAAAGATACTTCTCATTTATGTGTTCAAGGAAAAATATTTAAGAGATACATATTCTCCAAGAATTTCCCACTAGCGGAAACTACACTAAGAAAAATTGTAATAAATATAACCTTTAAAAAACAGTACCTCAACTATGATAACTGTAAGTTAATAAAAAAAAATCATTCTTGAATGGCCTAGTGTACGTTACTTCTATAAAATTTCTTTAATATGTCTATTGTGTATAGTCAATACACAAATAAAAACACACGACAGATTTGTTTCTGAAGTAAGCATGTGAAAATAAAATGGTACATAGTATATAATCAGCAAGTTGTGCAAACGTAAAAATATGATACTGAATAAAAACTTTTTTTGTTATTTATTTTTGAAATATTCCTACTCTCAAAAAAAAAATAAAAGGCATTGCTATTTAGTCCAGATTTTACAGCATGAAAAGCTAAAACCGGTTCTGATTAAAAGAATATAAAGCTCAAATTTCCTTTCACCATATTATACAATTCTTTCTGCAAAGCAGTTACAGCTTACCTGTAGGATTCCAACATATCAACAACCTCTGTCTGTCCAAATCGCCTAGCCCAGTCCACAGCCATCCTGAAAGAGTTGCACAAGTATTTTTTCAGATTTTTCACTTTGAAAGATGAATATGAATAGCACATCAGGTGAGAAGACAATTGACACCAGACCTTTGTATCCATTCCAGTATTCTTATCAGAATTGTTATTGCTGGATCTGCAACTTTCCATTTGAAAGTGCTGGAAAAGGTGTTAAAAGCTATCTGATTTTTAGGTAACTGCAGTTGTTTACCACAAAAGAAAGTCAGAATTTTACACAGGAGTACCTTCAAACGTTCACAAGGAAACGAGGAGGAAAAATGGGAACACACAGGACACAGTCTCAAGTTGTACCAAGGGAAATTTAGGCTGGATGTTAGGAAAAAGTTCTTCAAGGAAAGAGTAATAAAATACTGGAATGGTCTGCCTGTGGAGGTGGTGGAGTCACCATCCCTGGATGTGTTTAAAAAAAGACTGGATATGGCACACAGTGCCATGGTTTAGCTGTATTAGGGCATTGGTTGGACTCCATGATCTTGAAGGTCTCTTCCAACCTAGTGATTCTGTGAATGTGCACTCCTTTAAAAAGCCCACACCAACATGCAGAGATCAGACCTGCCTGTTTGCAGTACCCTTTAAGTCACCCAAAAAAAGACATACCCCAGTATTTTTCAGCAAAATGTGGGAAAACATTGGGCTATTTCATGTCTTTCAGAAGTTGTCCTCCTCACAATGCAGTTCACTACTCTACTTCAAAACTGCATTCCTTCCCAAGTTTTTCAAGTGTTAGTACCAAATATCAGATCGCTGGAATCCTAATTCTTATCCTTCCATGTTACAATTATTTAACCAACTTTCCTTTTTATACGAAGACATGCTTTGTAACCACAAAACTTGAGTTTTTACAGATTCACAAATATTTTTACATGCTACAACATATTTAGAAACCTAACACAAGGATTTTCTGATATAGGTAATGCCATGAAAGAAAGAATTGCCAAACATTTTGGTCCAGTTCAGTAGATTACAGTTTTTCTGCTAACCAGTGTCCTAAATAAGACCTATCAAAAAAAAGTTTATAGCCCATAATCAAGACTCTGTAATTAAGAATTCAATTTAGAATTTACAGAAAACAATGTGATTAACAGGAGTTATAAACTGTTTAGGCTGTCAAAATCTATAGTTCTTACAGCAGTGTGATGAGTTAGCAAACTAATTTAGATATGATAGAATTTTCTTTCTCCTATGTTGACAAATGATTCTTTTTGTTTCTCTGTTTTTACCAGCCATTGGATGATTTGCAGTGGATACTTGCTCCCATACTGATCAGCTGTTCTACTTGACTCAAAAGGCCTCTCCCAGAAGAAATCATCAGAGCAGTTGCACCGGTTTCACTGTGCCTATAATCAACTGAGAAGTAAAAAAAAAATAATCAGCAAACCCAATAGAAATGTTATTTCTTCATCTTAATATAGTACATATTGCTTTCAAATTCCAGCCCAAAGAGAATTTGTTTCCTCACTTTATCTCGGCAGTCAGTTCATGTGAATTCCACATTGTTTTAGAAACACACTTCTTTCAATACTTCAAAACAACTAACTAAACAATTCATTAGTTCTGCTAGCCCTATCCACTTATTCAGTAGGCATCAGAATGCAAAGGCAACAACATTTGAAACCAGAGATAAAAGCAGCCATAGAAATTTGAGTAAATTTGAGGTTCCTTTTTTCTTATGTAATAACACAATAAACTTACCACTGACATTTTCAGTTAAAATAAGATGGAACACCTGAGCAAAGGAATCAGTATCTTTATGCAACCAGATGTCAGAAAGACAGGAATCCATTTCTTTTACTATCCACGGTTCAAGGCAATTCACATCTTTTTCGGTCTGAAGATAAAAAGCCATATTGAAAGATTAACCTCTTCCTAGAGTTGTCTTTATTTTCATACATTACCCACAAAGAATTTGAATCGTTAATTTTCCCACCAGCAATCAGAAATCCAGCACTCAGGTATCAGTTAATGCACTGACTGTGTCATATGTACTCACACAATGGCAGTTGAGCCATTTGAACAGAGGAAAAGTTGTGTACAACCACCATAACTGAAGAGCACACTTCAGCTAGAGCAGTTCACCCTAAAAGAGTGATCTTTAAAATACATTAATAGCCTGAGAGACTCTACAGCACTATCTTTGGAAAAAGGATTTTAAATGGCTAGTAGTACAACACAAATATAAATGTCTCTTCCAACAAAAGGAAGAACTTACTAGTTGATTAAATACTGTGTCACCACCATCATCCAACCATTTGTACTCCTGATTTGCCCTTGGAACCGACTTTTGTCTCCGAGATGCCAGTTTGTTAGTGTTTTCTTGAGCTGAACACCACTCAGCAAGAGTGTTCTTCTGTGTCTCTTCTAGAATGCAAAGTAGTCCCCAAGAAAATTTTAAAGTCATCTTTATTATTCATTGTTTTCTACTAAAAAAATAGTTATAACAGGTCGAAGTTTTACCTATTCAACCTCTTTTATTTAATCTAGAATGCTACTACAAATCCAACCTGTTTAAGGTTACCTGAAGTGCACGACTGCAAACAAGGGCTATAAGAACAAGACAAAACCCACTATTTTGGTGTTTAACCCACCCAAGCTTCCATTATTCCAAACTACAGCACTTAAAGGAGCTTCCTAAGTAATTACCTTCTACACAATCTCAGTCCAGATCTTTCTTCAGAAGTGGAATGCTGAAGACAAGTGATACAGTCCCTGCATGTAACAACTTGTTTTTGTACAGGAGTGGAAGAAACAGTGGAAAAAACCAGTGTCTTAACACTTCTGTTTCCAGTGATCGGAGCTGAGCACTGTGATAAATATCCACTTAGAATTGTATGTTACAGCTTTGAGGTTTGCATTTTTAAATTTTTTTCTTTAAATCATCACTGGGATCATTACTTTCAATTGCCAGGAAAATTTCTGAAGTAGTATCTACATATCAGGAAAATCAATCCACAAACACCAGAGGTTTATGTCCAAAAATGAGACAGAGGAGTACTTTTACTTTATTTGAATAAAGGGAGAGGCCACGGAGCATTCCCCTGGGGTCTCTCATTTTTGGATGATGCAGCCTCCTTTTTATCCTGATTTCCCGGCTGCATGTCCCTCTCTCTTTCCCCATTGGCTGAGGTATTTGAGCTCAGACTTCCCGGAATGCCTGATACCTAAGATTCCCTGTATAACCCTCCCTCTTAATTTTTAATTCTTACAGAATTTATGTTTTTTCTCCATTGTTTCTTTCATCTTTCAATATCCAATTTCATTTATCAGCAAACCTACAGTTTGTTTGTAAAGGCAAATATCCTCTTCCCATTCATGAATCAGTGGAATCCTTCCCATTGTTTCTTTCATCTCTCAGTGCTAGTTTTATCTACCAGCAGATCCACAGCTTGTTTGTAAAGAAAAACCTGTCATTTCTCTCATATTTCATCAACTGAAAACCAATGATGTTTAGCTCAAGAGTGTTAACACTTATAAAAATACATCCATGCCTGAAGAACACAGTGAAAAATGTTACTAAAGGAAACAACTTGTGCGTTTTATGCAAGATGTACAAAATCCTGCCTGCTTTAATAGCTGAACTTTAACTTGCACCCAAAGGTACAGAGCAGCCTATGCCTCTTTAGTGTTCATGTGGGCAGAGCCCACAATTATATTTAACTCTACACCATAATAATTATAAAAAATATGGCAATTATCAACTGAAAGCAAAAAGAATGTAATCACTGAATCTAAGTTATTTTTTTGCATAAAGTATTTCAATAATGTAAATACTGAGAGCTTAAAGATACTTGCTGTCATCTAATCACGTCTCATTTAATCTCCTGACTCTGGTATTTTAACAGAAAATAATCCTGTTAATTCTTTATTCAGTCAATCAACGATTCTCATTGCCAACCCTTACAATTAACAAGTCCACCAACCTTGCTGCTTCTCTTTTTTGTACTTTACCATCTCTTTGTTTGTATAACCAGTGCTTCGTAAAATGTCCTCCAGAAACATCTCTTTAACTTCAAAAGGTCTTCCTTGGACTAAAAGTATTAAAAAAATCCATAAAAGACTAGCTATTCATTAGGTTCACTTACAACATCTATTTTTTTTTTTTAATTATCTTTGCTGGAGTTTTTCTCAAAATTATACAAAACAAAACATTTCCAAAGTAAAATGCTACCTTTTTCTCATCAACCTCTTCAATTTTATCATGTTTTATAGCACGAGATGTTCTTAAGATTGACAATTATTAACTACAGATTTTTTTAAAACAAGAAAAAGAAAACAGCCGTTTTTGTTTAGGGTTACAAACAAGAACTCACCAAGTAAGCCTGCCACCTGGATTAAAAAGGTAATTAATTAACAAGCAATTAATATAGCTTTGTGCAAGGTTCCACAAGCAGATGGTGTATCTATACTGAGCTACTTTATTTTCATGAGAAGTTTGTGAGGAGATGGACTTATCTCCATGTCTTCAACTAGTTCAGCAAAGTTGGGCTTTCTTTACTGAATGCTTCTTGACAGGTGACACATCCCAGTGGTCTTCATATTTTAATAATTTATCCTGATTTCTTTTCCAGTATGACTCTTTTGTAGACCTTATCTGTAGACATTAAAGATTGCTTTTTGTGTGAAGAATTAAAATATCTACATTTTGATTTCTTGTCCCCTAAGCTGACTTTAGAGCACTTGGGATTTTCCTTCAGAAAGAACAGTCCACAATTCATGTACTTGTAGAAGCTTTTAGAAGCTGTCACAGAGAAAGTCTTCCAACACTGATCACAAACTCTGTGTACTACAGCAATCCACAACTACAAAATGTTGGTTTCTATAGTCAGGATTTTGTCAGCCATACTGCTGAAGGAGAATCAAACCTTTTTTATTACATTAACAGACCAAGCTGCTTCTTTTAATTCTTAAATTCTCAAAAAAAAAAAAAAAAACCCAGAAAAAAACATCTTTTCAATTGCTATTGACCAGCATAAGCACTGTGATAAACTGGAGAGACTGTCATCAGAATTTCCAACACAAATATACCAATCTAAAGGAACAGGAAGCTGCAAAAAGAATAAACTGGGAAGCCACACAACACTCACAACTGAGGCTCTCCCTTGCAAAAAAAATTCAGAACATGAAATCATGTGCAATTTCCAGATTCCTGTCTGCAACAGGTTGCAAACCTTACTTTAATAGGCAGAAATTCAAAACTGGGAACTAGAAACAAACACTTCTATATGGAAAAAAAATGAAGAAGAGGTTTCCTTCTCACAAACATTTGCTAAAATAAACCAGTTAGTGATCCCACACATTTCCTATAACTGTTGATATTTTTTAAAAAAAGGCTCACATGCAGATAATCTACCTAATTGTGAAATATATCATTTATCTTAAAAGCTACTTTTCAAAACACATTAGACCTGGACATCATTGTTGAAAGAGAGGATTGCAACGTGCCAGAGGAGGTGGCCCATGCAGAAAACCTGCAAGCCAGGAGGGTGGGAACAAAAACCCAATCCCACAAAAACCCTCCATCTCCCACACATCTACATTTTGCCTCTACTAAAGTGTTAGAGGACTGATTGCAAGAGAATAGATATGCTGAAGGAAGTCTCACCCCTGATAAATTGCAGCTTGGGAACAGCCTTGCCCTTAATAAGGTGTTATAAAAGAGTGGGTTAGCTATTTGAGAGGCAGCTGGAGTTTGCTGGCTGTGCTGTGAAGAGGAAGGGTCAGGTGGTTGTGTGAGGGACAGAAAGGAGTTAGCTGGTTGTGCAGAAGGAGGAGACAAGGAGTCAGTGCTGTGTGGAGCTGCCCAAAGGAAACTCAGAGAGAAGGATAAGCCAACAGTATCAGTTTGCATCCACTGCCCAGTGGTGTCAAGCACCAATGCTGACAACTGGTGCCCTGTGTGAGGACAAGCACCACTGCTAAAGATCAGTCAAATGAAATTAAAACACCAATAATGGTAACTTCTCTTTGCATCTGAATGTAATCTAACTTGCAGGTAACTGAGTCTGAACATAAACTAAGAGAAACCACATGCCTTTTCTGAATATTCACCTAGATGAATGGCTACTAATGTCAATTAAATCAAAGAATCATGTGGTTCAAGGTGGTTCAAGCATGAAATCCAATCTGTCTAGGCCTGTATTTCTGAATTAACAGATACAGTTATCTGTGTTTTATCCAATAACCAGTAACAACCTTTATGAGGCCTGAAGAATTAGAATCCATTGGAATGTATTAATATGCATCACATTCATACAGCTCCTAAGTCCCATATCAGCATGAAGACAGCACTTCAATAACCTTTTCCTGCTTCTTGACTTAACCGGGGAGGGGAGCAGGACATACCTGCATTTACAGAACTCCCAGTGATTAAAACACTTCACTCTGAAGTAGGTGCAAACAGTTAAGAAACGAGAAATCTGCATACACAAAGAACAAGGATTTCATGTGTATTCCTCATGTGCCTTTACTCAGAATAGTTAGCTACAGTTCAATAAGATCTGTGAGTCTCAAGGCAAGTATACTTGTATTTTAGAGTTAAAATAAATACTTACTATGTATTACTGGGCAGCTTCCAAAATACCTAATAAAGAGATTTGCATCTAGAGCAGCACTAGAAATAATTAATTTTAAATCATTCTGCTTCTTCAGCACATCTCTCAGTTTTATTAGCAAGAAGTCACTGAATCTATCTCTCTCATGTACTTCATCCTGTAACAAAAGGAAAAAAAAGAAGAGATAAACATCACAGATTCAAAAACACAACTTCTGACATATAAAAATGTTTTTAAAAAATATATGTATTTTTGGTGGCACAATACAGAGGCCTTAAAATATGTAAATCTAGTTTAAGTAACAGTTTTTTTAAAAAAAACTAACTATCCATAACCAAAAACTGTAAGACAAAAACTTTAAAATGTTTTTATCAGAGCTGAGTGTATTGCAATGCTGAAGCTGTACCTTAACTTCAGACACCAAAGTGAATATCTGAAACCTCTTTAATTTTGTATTTGAAGCTGAATTTCAAGAAAATGCCACAAACCACAAATCCTACATATTTTAATAAATTCTCACTTCACCACTGATGAGCATTTAAAGAAATGTATGACACCACATAATCAGAAGAAGACAGACTGCTTAGGCAAGTCATACACAAAACCTACACATTAAGGCACATAACTGATTAATCATCTTTGTCATTCTTCTGTTTTGTTTTGTAATATGAATGAATGAAACAAGGACTCAAATACAAGGTTTGTAGGCTGCTATCAAGAATGCATATATCGTTCTCATACTTCTCAAACTTTGATAAACAGGTAGGCACCTAAACTTACCATGATTTCTGTCACTTTGGCAGCTAGCTTATAGCTGCCAAATAAATTTGGCAATATCAGATTCCCAAACTCAACCAGCTTGGAAGTAAAACAAGTCCCCAGGTGGGGCAGAGATGGATTGGATTCAGACCCGAGCACGGACCTCAGCCAGTCACGTTCAATCCAGAAAGCAGACATATCACTGGTCAAGGAGCTGGGTGGTGCTGAAACCTCTACCAATGCATTCTCTAGACCCAGGAGTTTTGAATAGACTATGTAAGTGGGTTCTGAACAACAAAATGGGCTGTTTGTCCAATGAGCATGGACTTGAGTTGTAATTTCTGTCCCCAACCCATGACCATCATGTAACAGATTTCTTTTAATCTTCAGTATTTAAATCTTGCCCTAAACATTCTAGTTCCCCTTACTTATTAAATTCCACAATAGGAATATTAAAATAATCATAAATGAACACACCTGAAGAATTTGCTAGAATTAGTCTGCACATTATCTTGAAAACACTGGGCAAACAAATGGACTGAAAACCTGGTATTGCTAAAACAAACACAAGATAACAGAAATTCTGACACTTTCACATTTAACCACTTCAATGTAAGACTCCCTAAGGCTTTTCTGCTGGCAGGGAAGTTCAGAAAAATTTACACTTCTGTCCTCCTCAGCTCCGCCTGATTCCACAACTAATTATTGGCATGAAAACAAAGTAAGATATTCTTACAGGAAAAAACACGAACACATAGAAAAGTACCAAAATCCATAAAGCATGCATACTACTCTACGGGCACAAAGTTTTTAAAGTTGATTCAGATTCTACCAATTAAAAACACCTAAAATGCTCAGCAAATTTAAATAAAACAAACAAGGACCTAATTTTCCAAAGCAATACATGTTGCTCCACCCCACATGAAAGACCACAGGATGCTCACCACAATAACATGTGTCACGGTGGAGAGGGTGCTGTCTCCTGCCATCAGCGTGCGAAGAAGCATGTCATTAGTGCAGAATGTTACCAGTGTCTTTGGAGAAACCCTATGGAACAGATCACAGAGACAACTCAGGGGGTTTGCACCATTGAAAGGCTGCTAATTTTCCATGGCTCAAAAATTAAAGCAGCTGCTGACCAGAAGAGGAATTTCAGCTCTCTTCCCAAAAAGGCTCATGCACTAGTTTAAAACCACTTGTTTTTAAACTATGCCTTTTCCCAGACATTTCCTAACAATTCTTAGTGCTTGTGCCCCAAAACTTTGGATAGTGGATTAATTGAAAAAATAAGGATCAAATTTTAATAAATAAGGAAGTTAAACAACCGTGAGAACCTCTGCATGTCATTCAATTTGCTAAAAAATTCCATGTGGACAAACAGGTTCCAGTTCCTCAGCATATCTTGGATACAGCCTTTGTATTTGCCTATATGTGGAGGGATGAGCCTGGCTGGATGCCAGGTGCATATCCAAGCCACTCTATCTGTCCTCTCAATAGGCAGGGGAGAGAACACAACAGAAGACTCACAGGGTCAAGAGAAGGATAAGGAGAGACATGGGTCTTTCCCACGGGTGACAGTCTTCCATGAGTCCTTCCCATGGACTGCAGCTCTTCATGAACTACTGCAGCACAGGTCCCCTTCCACAGGGTGCAGTGCTTCAGGAACAGCCTGCTCCAGTGTGGGACCCCCACAGGGTCACAATCCTGACAGCAAACCTGCTTCTGTGTGGGCTCCCTCCACAGCACCACAGGTTCTGCCAGGACTCTGTTTCAGCACAGACTTCCCACAGGATCACAGCCTTCTTCAAGGATCCACCTGCTCCAGCATGGAATCCTGCACAGGGGGATCCCTGCTGCACCATGGACCTCCATGAGTTGCAGGAGCACAGCTGCCTCACCATGGGCAGCACCGTGGGCTGCTCTGGCACTTGCTGCCTCTCCTCCCCTCCTGCACTGACTTTCCTGTCTGCAAAGCTGCTTCTCTCACTGCTCTCACTGCTCTCCTTGAACTGCTGCCTCTCTTGTGCAGGTTTTTCTCCCCCATTTCCCACTGTCCCAGAGGCACTACCACCATCATAGATGGGCTCAGCCTTGCCCAGAGACAGACCTGTCTTGCCGGCACCGGCTCTCTCAGACACGGGAAAGGCTTCTGGCATCTCCTCACAGAAGGCTCTGCCACAGCTCCCAAAGTCTTGCCTTGCAAGCCCAGCACACTACAGCTGACTAAATCACAAAGTAATCAGCTGGTTACTCTGGTTTTTCAGGAGGTCAAAATACTGAAATGTTACTATTCTATACCTGGGGCAGAGTTAGCTGTCCCAGTAGAAACAGCAATTGTCACTACTTTCTCTGGTACTGCCATCCTAAAGGAGCTGAAAAGCTCCTTTGAGCTGTACTCTACAGCTCTCCTCTGGAAGATAGTTAAGAAAATTTTCAAAATTAGACTTCTGTGTTAGTATAATCATCTCTAAACACTCCAGATATTTTTTCTCCACAGCTTAAAATATTGTCATCTCCCCCTTTTAGTGTTCCTCTGGAGTAAGTGTATTGATTCTTCTCAAGCTGGATTTTCTACACTGCTTCCAGTAATTCTTCCATTTTGATCTGACTTCACTCTTCTGCCAGCTTAGTACTCCCACACATTTGAATTCTTATTGTGGCTTTGTTTTTCAAGCACATTCATTTTCATCAGCTATGTGTAATCTTTGTTCATTCAAGTAACATGACCTTTTGCCATCTTCTGGTCGCTTATATCCCAACCATTGCCCCTTCCCTGAAATGTCACTGGCTACATGGTGCAAGGATGTAAAAACCCCACACAATTCACTCATGCTCTGCTTTACAGACAAAGTCATCAAGTGATACTGAAATTTCTACTTTTACATCACTTCATGTTTTAGACACAAATGCTTACGCAGAGTAAATTTAGCCCAAACTAGTCTGGTAAATAATGCACAGCTTCATCAGTCACTTTGCAATTTTTCTCTTTTATGTTCTCTCTTTTATGAGCCCTATCAACTCACGCTACGTAACATTTGTTACAGCATGCTGGTCTTCCCACCTACCTTGAAAGCTTGCAGAACTTTTGGATCCATACAGGTTAAAAGCAGAGAGGGGAAAAAAAAAGAGAGGAAAGCGTAGACTTGATCTGAAAATCAGACAAGGATTTACATGCACACACTCCCCAGAAGAAATCAGTGGAAAGCACTTGAAATTCAGTTCTGTAAGACAACGTACTACACGAAACTGGAAAACACAGGAAGAAAGCTGTCCTTTTCACTCTTAAGTATTCCTCACTTGCAATAACCTGCAATAATATCCCACCTATAATTTATGGGTTGCATCCCAAACATGCTGCAGTTTAAATGTACACAGGATACATGATACCAATACAAGATGAACCAACACTTAGCAATGCCATTAATACCTGCTTTCTAATCTGATCTGGTAACCAATAGTCTGGCCAATCTTCTCTCGTCTTTCTGCTGCCACTCTTTCAGCCACAGCAACAGCTGCTAAGCGTCTTGGCTGAGCACAGAACACACGGCAGGGAGTTCCACTCTTGTAGCAATCATCCAGAATAAACTGAGGGATCTGTAAAGAAGTGGTTGAAATTTACTTTTTGAGAAAGTCACAGTGTTCTTAGCACAAGGAAACAATCCAACTGCATCTCAGTATCACACATTGCAAAAGACTTTTCAATATCACTGCAAACATACCTGAATTGGCAGAAAATAAATTTTTAAGTGTAACCTATCTAGGGGTTTTTTAAAGAAAAAACTTGCAGTGTCTCTTTCCTGCTTCAGAGAAATCTATATTAAAAAAAACGCCTGGTAGATAATCTCTCATTTCAACTCAAAAATATATTACTCTGGGTACTATGAACAGAATTAGCCTTAGAAGAAAAAGGGCTATACAAACATCACAGCTACTTTCCCTTCAATATTTTGCATTATTTTAATGAAAAAATTGTACCTATCAGAAAATTGTGAAGAACCATTCATGCTTTTAGCACCTAGCTGCTTATTTAGTGTTTCAAAAGCAAGAAAATGAATTGGAACACAAGATTTTCACTCATACAGGAAAAGAAAAACCTTAAAATAGCATAAAAATATCTCTTTATCACAAATGTTACACAATTGGCATTAGTTTAGTATAAATACTGTTATCTTTTTAATTTAATTGAAGAAACATACTTGAGTAGTTTTTCCTGATCCAGTCTCTCCTATAATCAAAACAATTTTATTTTCCTTTATTATTTGGACAATTTCTTCCTGTTTTTCAAGAACTGGTAGTGATTGCCTGAAGGAATCAAACTCTGATTCCCCTCTTTTCACAGGGACCTGGGGAATACCATCATTAAGTCGACCACTTGTCTTGTTCACCTCTTTGTTTTCTGTGAAGAGAAGTCAGAAGTTTATTTATTCAGGTACAGAAGAAGGTCGCTAGAACAATGCTCAAAAACTGTACTTCAAAATTAACATTGCTGACTTTCTATGCATCCCTGTGGGTAAGGAGACAAACCCATGACACATTTAGAAGTCATATTTATAGCAACACGTCCTCCTGCAGTGCTTGAAATAGATATTTTTTGAAACTAATTACTTTCACAGTAATTTTGAACAAAACCAGAATCTTCCAGAGCATTGCTCCAAGTAAAAAAAATCTACAAAGAGCCAAAGGAGAAAGAGAAACTAAACCAGAGAAAAAAACCAGCCTGATGTATTTTGGTGGCCTTTGTATCTGGACCCACATTTCACATCTTCAGTTTTCCCCAAAAATACACACTTACAGAGTTAAACTTTTGAGGTATTCTATGCATTTGCCTGAAATCATACTAATGCAAACATGCTGTATCAGAAGTCCTCAACCCCACACAGCAATACGATGTGTTAGTGCATAGGTAGCCAAAAAATGTGCACATCTTCTGAGGGAGCTACTTCAAATCTAGCATTGCAACTGCTACTCTGTAGTTCCTTGAAAATTATTCTCCAAAACAAAAAGCTTGCTGTAAACTCAATTAGATGTATTTAATGTGATTAACAGATTCAGATACTAAATTACAGGTTCTTTTGTACCAAGACAAACACAGACTAAGAGTTCAGAACTAAAAATATGCTCTTGAGAAGCAGAGAAAGACCATTATTAGACTGTCCATTACCTTATCCCTTACATTCCTAAGACATTGTGTTTCAGTACTTTTGTTATAGCTTCCCTCTGTTCATTAAACAACTGAAAAAAATAGCAAAGGAAGCACTTAAAGAACAGACACCATGTATCAGAAATATGCAATTAAACAAGGCATATTGGTCCAAGTATTCTCTATTCACTACACGCACCTCTGCACACAGAAACACAGCCTAACTCTTCCACTTGTAGCTGCTAAAGCAATAATCTACATGAGACCATTGCTTTTAAAAAAATCCCCAACATTTCATCTTAAGTCTGTCTTTCAGTGAATTATTTTATATTCTAGAAGTTAAGAAGTCTGGACAGTAGTTTCTTAGGGACCAAACCTATTTTGTAGAGATGAAGAAACAAAAACTAAACTTCTTGATTTTTCAAGGACATGAATTTCAATAAGCAGAACAGCCAACCTCATTTCTCAAAACGGCATTCTCATGGCATAATGGTAACACCCTGACTCTTCAATCCCATATCACCACACTTGTATAAAGCCATATTTCACCAATGTGCCTCCAAAACTATCTGGCTGGAAGTAGCTCAAAGATTCTAAATTAACTGAGCACTGCAATGTGGATTATATGACTGCCCAAGTCCCTCACAACACCAGTATAAAAGACCTTTAAAGTAAGGAAAATCCATGTATTTGTTTAGAAGTGTGTTAGGACACAAGGGGACAGAACAGAAGTGGGTTTGCTTTGTCCTTGGGTTGCAGCTGGTTTTTTTCAAGTGGCGTTAATGGACAAGTCCAAATCAGAAGACACCAAACATACCAGATTCAACAGCACAGGCATTTCCTCGCTCTGTCCTTGGCAGGAGTTCTGTGCGTTCCTTGTTTGTGACAGGAAAACTCTGAATTAGACTCCGAACGGCGTGTTTTGTACAGAGAGCCAAGTCACAAGTCATGACTGCATGTGTCTCTGACACATCCTTCTTCCTTACAGTCAGGTATCGATTGGCTCCTTTTCTGTGAGGGGAGAAGAGGTAATATATTTTAGGAAGAAGTAACCTACTCTAGGTTAACTTTTATCTGCCAAGGTATGAGGTTCTATGCAAAACCTTTGAAAAAAAACAGAGATCATGGTGAGAAGTCTTTTTAATGGACCCATTAAATCCACAAAATATAAAAACGAGCTGTCCCAAAAGACATGTCATAAGTTTTTACAAGCATGCATACAGCAATGAACACAGATACTTACTTCTATGTCTACTTTTACACTTTTTTTCTCTAATACTATTCCTTGCAAATCAGTAGGGTATATGTTGAAAACATAATCAGGTTATCCGTAGTTATGAAATATCATTCATCTACACCAAAAACCCAAGAATTGTACCCCAACTCACCCTTTGCTTTTAGATACCAGTCCAAGAGACTGGCAGAGCCGGTGAACAAATGCTCTTTCAGTACTAGTGAAACTAGAAGGAAATTCCATCTCTAGAATGATAAATAATAATTAAAAAACCAGTAACAATGCAACAAGCAGTAATCTTGACATATTACCTCAATGTTATAGAATCACAGAATTGTTAGGATTGGGAGATCACCCAATGCAAACCCCCTGCCAAGGCAGTGTCACCTGGAGCAGGTGCCATAGGAACACATGCAGGTGGGTTTGGGATGTCCCAAGAGGGGGAAACTCCATGTTCTCCCTGGGAAGCAGTTCCAGTGCTCTGCCACCCTCAATGGAAAGAAGTTCTCCTTCATGTTGAGCTGGAACTCCTTGTGTTTTAATTTATGGCCATTGCTTCTTGTCCTGTCACCAAAAAGTCTGCACTCTCCTCCTGGGACTCATCTTGGAGATATTTATATAAATTAATGAGATCCCCTCACAGCCTCTCTAGGCTAAACAGGCCCAGCTCTCACACCTCTCCTGGTAAGAGATGCTCCAGACCTTCCCCTCCAGATCCCCTCCAGTAGCTCCCTGTCTCTGTGCTGAGGAGCCCAGAACTGGACACAGCACCTCAGCTGTGCCTCACTAGGGCCGGGCAGAGGGGCACGATCCCCTCCCCGACCAGCTGCCAGCTCCCTCCCACACCTGCACATTCCCTCCCCGGGCCAGGCTGTGTCGCGCACCCGCGTCGTCCCCGAGCTGGAACCGCTCCAGGGCGAGCTGCACCGCCACTTCCACCTCCTCGTCCACGGTGATATCCCTGAGGGCCTCAGCCCGGGCGCGCACCGCGGCGGCAGCCGAGCCCGCCGCGGACCCGCTGGGCTGTCGCCGCGAGACACGCCTGTGTCGCGACATGGCCCCGACACGGCTTCACCACCGCCCCACCACGGCTCCACCACGGCTCCACCACCGCTCCACCACCGCTCCACCACGCGTCGCGGGTCGCTCCTCCTCGGCCCGGGGGGCGACGCTAGCGGCGGGGCGGGGCCTGCGTGGGGTCACCCACAGCCGGAATCGTCCCCGAACGGCAGGAAATTGGCTCTTTTCCCCCGTTAGGGTGTTGAAGCCTGCCTGTGTACCGGGTTATGTGTATGGCCGTGGCCAAAACGTTGCAATGGTACCCTGTCTGGTCATAAATTACGTGTTTTAATTGAATGGCATTAAACCTAAGTGTGGTGAAGGTCATCTCGGCCCTCAACCTCCTCACTCTGTAAAGTGCTACTTGCCCTTGATTTTGGATCGTCTTTTCCTGCTATCCTTTGACTCTAGGATGAGGACATGAGATAGAAACTAAACCCAAACCTCTTGGGCGTGACATAGGGCTCGGTGTTTAAGGCTGCTGCTTTGGAAACATCATTAAGTCAGAAGGGGAGTACTTGAAAGAAAAACTACTCCTCAGTTGTGAACTGGGGAATTAAATAAATAGAAAATAAACACTCACTGTCTGATGTAGCTGGCTGAAAAATAGTTCCTAAGACACCTGTACCAAAGCTGTGTCCAAGGCTCACTTCAGCATAATTCTGCACTGAGAGGTCACACTGGAGTTGAACGATTGATCTGTTCTAAGGTCACTTTTAAATTTTTTTCAATTTTTCTGTTCAGGTACCTGCCTATGTATCTTCAACCAAAGTACATAATGCTAGTTCTTCATAGCTGTTCCTGTGACATTCAGTACTGCCACCTCAAAGCACATCACAGTTCTTATGGAAAATTAAACGCGTAATGCTGAATAAGATGAGGATTCCTCCTATCATCCTTGGGATAAACAGTTGCGACAGATTGGCATTTAAGAAAACAAAGAGAAACGCCTAAGGAAGCTAAAACCGCTGGAGGCTGATGGAAGTTTTTCTCCCAGCCAACAACTGGCCATTTCTGAGAATTGACAGCAGTTTTAACCATTGAAAAGTGAGATCAACCTGTGAACACCACCTTAAGACCTAAGCCTGGGAATTTTTTTGTCTCTTTGTTTCCTGGCTGTGAAAGGTAACTGAGCTTTAGCTGGCTTCCCGTTCCCTGCCCGGGACATGCAGCCCGGGCAGGGGCTGGGCTGGGCGCAGCAGCTCCCGGCTGGGAGATGGGGCCTGTGGGGCTTGCCCTGGGCTCTGGCCGGGCCAGGCCGGTCCCTCGCTCCGCTGCAGTTTTTGCCGTGACTGAATTCACCAGAGACTGTCAAGTAAAGGAAAAAAAGCTCTTGACCTGCGGCGTGCTGAGACAGTGACCACACTCTCCAGAGCAGCCATGAAGAATCAATCTTCCATCGCAGACAGCTCCAGCCGCTGCTCTGGCAGAGATCACAGAACCATCTACAAAGCCTGGGCAAGATTTTAACCCTTTCATTACCCAGATGAGACTTGCAGATTAATCCTTTTTTCCAGAGAGAAAAAGAGAGAGTAATCAACATGTAAAGAGACTTTATGAACTATCAGAGACAGTAAAGAAAATAATTAAGCTTCAGAAAAAGTAGAGAATAAGGAGATGCTTTAATTATGATTTAATTATGATTTAATAATGATTTAATTTAATTTAACAGAAATATTTTTCTGTTAAAGCTATGGAGATGGACAATAGTGTTCTGAAAAAACTCCTTTAATTCATGACAGAGTATATTGGGAGGAATAGAGTGTTCAAAGTGTGGATTTTGAGCAAAAAGTGGAGCAATTGTGATACAGTGAGGTGCTGGAACAGAGTGAGAAGTAGTAGTTGAAAATTTGAGGCCTTAAGAAGAAAAAAACCAAACTTCTGTTTCCAGAAGAGCTCACAGAGACAGATGAAGAGAACTTTTACCTTTGAATAACTCGTGCTTAAAAATGACATCCATAGACTCATTGACCCATACACACCTCGGAGTGATGTGAAATGGGAGGAGAAAATCTGAAGGCAGATTTTTCTGGGCAGCTGGCATGAGAGAAATAGAAAGCTATAACAGAAATAGTTTTCTTGTGAGAAACTCCATAGATTAGCAGAAGAAGACTTCCGTTTCTCTACAAAGGCTGATGAAAAGACTCTAGCAGGAATTGAGACTGTTTTAAACACCAAAGTTCCAAAGTTTTTTGTCTCCATGTTGTTATGTAAACAAGGGAATAGTTGGGTAGCGGGGGAAAAAAGGGTTTTCTGGAGGTTTTATTTTGGTTTTCTTATTCTTGTAGTTTTGTTAATAAACTTCCTTTATTCATTTTAAGTTTTAAGCCTGTTTTGCTCTTGATCTAATTCATATCTCATAGCAAGAAATAAGTAAGTTTTCTAGTGATTTTTTTAATTACTGCTTTAAAACCACGACATTTATTTGATGCATTGGCCGGGAAATGAAATTAGCAAATCTAAACCACTACAACAGTAAAAAAGGAGAGCTCATAACCCATTTGAAAGTCACATCAGAAATCTTTATTTATGAACCCAAATCTCTTAACACTTTCTGCCTTTTAACAGCATTGTCTTGCCTTCCTGCAGAAAAAAACCCCCTTGATTCTGAAAAATTATTCCTCAGGCCCAGTTCTGCTCTCAGTTTGCAATCCTGTAAATACAGCAGCACACAGAGCTGCCTATCTGTTGGGCTAAGTCTCATCTGTATTGCTAAGGGTGGGGTGAAGCCTGAGTGCATCCTGCATAACAAATTCCTTAATACATGCCTTTCTTATTTGTCTGCTTTTTTGGCTCTCTGATGCTCTGATGCTCTTAGAAGGGTGAAAAAATAGGAGAGTGTAGTCACCCCTGCACTGCTAAAGACAGAATTTCAGTCTTCGCTCTGCATATGAAAACACATGAGCAAAGACGGAATTGTGCTTACCGAAGCTCTTAGACATGGAGATTTTATTCTTTATATGTATTATCTTAATAAAAATTACTAGCTGTGAATTTTCATGTTAAAATAACCTGTAAATCTTTACAAATTCCATTTTCATGACTGGCCTCAGAAGTACCTTCTGGCTAATGTTTACTCAAAACAAATAACCCCTGGAATAATAAGTATTTCCTTCTATTAATGTCTGTCCAAATGCCCATGTATTTTTTTTAAGAAGAATTAAGAGGCAGCACAGTTTTATGCAAAAATTCATCTGCATGTTTAAATACAATTAGGTATTCTTATTTTACCCTTCCTAGAGGCACTTTAGCTGAGTTCTTTTCGGTTTGCTGAATGTTTTCTCTCTCATAATGTTCCACAAAATATGCCAGTTCTAAGACAAAAAGAACTGGAACCAATGGAAATTGGTCAGACAGTACAGTCTCTTATGCACTGTTAGATTGTGTCAGATTTGACAGCAAAATAGTCTTTCTGGTTTTTGTTTGTTTGGGATGTTTTTAAGATTTTAAGTGTTGTAAGACTAGCTGCTGAAATATGATGTAAGGATCACTGGTGAGCCACTTCAAGATGAAATTAATGAAAGAGCACAAGATTTATTTCTCTTTTCATTTCCTTAGTTCCTTGATTACAGAAAAAAAAAATAAAAAGGAATTACAGTATGTAGGGGTTTTTTAAGCATCACAGTAAATCTGTAACCAGACATCTGATTATTAATGATCCCATCAGGTAAATTATGTATTTACACACATTTAGGGAAGGAAGACTAATGTCAAATTATATTGAAAGATATTGTTTAATAAATTATCTGCAGTGAAAATGGGCATCGCTTACTTTACTGCACACTGCTGTATACAGTGATAGTTCCCCAGACCTTTGGCTGCTGGTGGGGGCTCTATCTGGATTATTGCCTTCACCCCATTTCTGTAGCCACTGCTATTACCTACTGACATATAATTTCTTTTTTATCTGTCTTTTCTACTTCCCTTAGTCATTTAAATCTTTCTTTATTTTTGAGACATCAAAGAAAAGCCTTCTGATCAGTTCTGTCCTTGTAAAACAACTTCACTTGCCGCTTGATCTGTTGAACTTCTGTGGGAAAACTGCAACCCTTCAGTGGAGCTTAAGGCGTCCATAGAGTTCAGCAATGAATCCAGAGTGAAGGCTGGGAAGAGCATTGTTGCAGTAGTGTCACAGTGCAGCTGGTCTAGACTGGACAAAGTAAATCTACCCATAACACAAAACTAGTTTGGCTAGCCTAATTAATGTCTGAACCACTGCACACCACTGGCCAGGACGCTGGGCAGGGAGAGAAGTATCAGCCAATGGCTGTCTAGCCCGGGAAATTCGAATTGAGTATTTAAGTGAGTTCTGAATAATAAACGAGGCTGTTTGTCTCATAGGCACCTGAAGCATGAGTCGTGGATCTTTCTCTCCCCACCTACGACCATCACGTTAGACAGCATAATTCCCAGCAGGGTCAGATATGCCCCAGTTCTTCCCACGGCTCTCTCCACTACTCCTCATTCCTAAATTGAGAAACTCCAGTTCTCAGGGTGAGCAAATGACAGGACAGGAGGGACAGTGCAATGATCCTGTGCTAACAGATCTTGCTGTGTCATGTCCTAAAGGCAGCATGAAAAGTGAAGGAATCCCATGTCTTGTGAGCTTAGGAGTAGACTGAAGGCAGAAGGATTTCATATCTGTGACACATGTACTTGTGTCTTTGCTGAAACTGGAACTGAGTGGAACTGATCTGCTCCCTATGGAGATTTATTCATCTAGAATGTAATTTCCTGTTAAAATACTGTTTCACTGAAACATTTAGACTAAAATACTACCTATGTTGCAGAAATTTTCTGGAGCACAGAACACATTTAACTATCACTGTTATCAGTAGCGTGCAGAAAAAAGTTATTGAGGTTACCTCATAGTAACTG